TAGGCTTTTCTCACTAAATGGAAGCAAGCTGAATATAGTCAGTCTTTTCTAGTTATTTATTTTATTAATACTTATTTTAGTTAAGTGCTTAAATTGTAAATATGCATTTATTCAAATATTTTATTTAGTGCATTTGTATTTTGTTGTTTTTGTATATAGTTATACAATAAAAGTGTATCAACCAGGTTCCAGAAATAATCACTGAGGGTGCTCTAGTCTTAATGCACATTTTCACATATTTTGTCCCGTCTATTGCTCTGGTTATCACCATGTCAATCACTGCTACTTCGAGAGAGAATCCTGCATAAATATGCATATGTCATTCCCGAATCTTTGCAACGTGTGTGTGGCCAGAAAACAAAGTTCTACATTTTAAATGGATTATAAGCCTAGAAAGCTCGCAAAGAGCGCTCATAACCACTAAACAGCTGTCACTCTTTGTTCATCGCGATCTCACAAAGTTCTGTTACCAATGAATCTCACACTGCGCAATTAATATATTATTAACATCGTGTATACACTCTGCCCAAGAGACTGACCCCTCATTTAAAATGCTCTAGATACGCCCCTGAGAGGAGAAACACACTGAAGTCACACTCACAGATTCAGTTCACAGAGTAAAATTCACACGATGTAACAAATGTTACACTTAAACACATATGAGGTAAGATGCAAACAAAGTAGCTGTATTTTAAGATATAATGACCAAACCTTCTTGAAAACCCTTCTTGACTACTGAAACCATCTGAAAGCTTAGAGATCCTGAGTTACTCAGGCATAATTGCAATTTGAGAGGTTCTTCATTTGCCATCATATTATATATATTTAATACAGATTGTTACAACTCTAAATTCTGAGTGGATGAATCGTATGAAGCTTGACGCATATGATAAATATTAACAAGACTAATTTTTAATGTTGCTTGAGAATTGTGAACAGCCACAGCTAATAAACTATAATACTCAATGGAACAATAATTTATTTATTCCTAATATTAATGTTGTATTGAGAAGGATGTCTGTTATTAAATTACTGTTTCCGCCATTTAATAAAGCAATAATCTGCTTGAGACCATGAGTACAGTGATTTCACTCCAAATCTTAGCACGCTTTACTGACAATATACTTACAGTAATGCATGCCTTAAGTGGCTTAATGATTTAAATATGTTTTCAAATATTATCTGTGTTCATTAGTTGTTCTGCAGTAGAAGTAGGAACACAGACAGGCTCGTCTCACACTGAAATGGATGGAAGATGTTTTCAGGGAATAAATAGAAACTGATCAGACAAAACCACAATTCCTCAGTGAACTGTTTACTGTCTGATTCGTCCTGAACTGCTTCTGTGAGTTGTTTGGTTGAGTAGAGTAAATCTGATTTGTTTATTTGATCATATTTGATATTTTTCAAACTGCATATAACATTTTACAGCATCAAAAAGAAGCTCCATCATTCCAGCCCTTGTACTCAACGACTTGCTGTCATTCATATAAAGTTTTATGCAGAAATCCAGACTATTCTTTGAAACTATTTGTTCCTGCAGTGAAACTCTGGAGTGTCTGCTAGTCTGTGTGTTCAGGGCAGATCATATCTTTAATGTTCAGTTACTCGTACACTTACTCAAATAAGAAAGAACTCAATTTCTGTTGTGTTTTCGCTCCATAATGTGTGAAATGTGTGACGCAAAAAAACAGATGTACGTCACATTCAGCCCTTAAAATAGGTCAGTGACATGTGCTGTGCTTTATCAAGAGCTGATGCACATGTAGACTTTATAGGAAAAGTATGGATGTATTGAAGGTTCTGTCATTCCATTTCATTTAGTTCTGAGTCCAGGTCACAGCGGGAGTAATGCAGTCTGCTGCTGAAGGATAAACTTGCATCTTAAGTTTGAAAAACGTAACTCTTAAACTCTTAAATGAACACACTAACCTGACACTTTCTATTAAAATTGAGTTTTTCATTGAGTTTCCCCTCATTCCTGTGGGTCGGCGGTGTTGTTCTGGGTCTGGTTTGAGTCACAGGATTACTGAAGCTGCGCTCAGACGTGTTTAAAGACGTCTTGAGACGAGCAGCAGCTGCAGCACTCTCCATATGATCCTTCAGTCTCTTTACACTTCTGCTGCAGGATGAAGAGCATGACTTTAATTCTTCTCATCTCACTGTGCATGTCTATGGGTGAGTTACTGGCTGTTTTACTGGTTAGAGACGAGTCTAGTCTGTGTGTAATCAGCTTCAAACTGTGATTGTCTCAATAATCCTTTAAGTATAATAGAAGGACTGAGCGAGTGTTTGCAGGAGAGCAGAGCTGTGCTTCGGAAATGAGCTACTTTGTGCTTTAAAATACACTGTTTTTCATTGAGTTTCCCTTCATTCCTGTGGGTCGGCGGTGTTGTTCTGGGTCTGGTTTGAGTCAGGATTACTGAAGCTGCGCTCAGACGTGTTTAAAGACGTCTTGAGACGAGCAGCAGCTGCAGCACTCTCCATATGATCCTTCAGTCTCTTTACACTTCTGCTGCAGGATGAAGAGCATGACTTTAATTCTTCTCATCTCACTGTGCATGTCTATGGGTGAGTTACTGGCTGTTTTACTGGTTAGAGACGAGTCTAGTCTGTGTGTAATCAGCTTCAAACTGTGATTGTCTCAATAATCCTTTAAGTATAATAGAAGGACTGAGCGAGTGTTTGCAGGAGAGCAGAGCTGTGCTTCGGAAATGAGTTACTTTGTGCTTTAAAATACACTTGACTTAAATCATTAGAATTTGCAGTAGAACTATTGTTTTAGTTTTGGAGCAGTTATCTAAAATTCAGTGACATTCTTTACTGAGACTGAATTTCAGTTGAATTGGTCCAGATGATTTTTATGTCAATGATTTCACTCAAAATCACATCACAGCCCACACTTTATTTACCACATTGTGATTTTGTGTGTGTGAACATCATCATGAGGTTTAGTAGGTTTAAATGTTTGATGTGTATTTCCATGTCATTTGATGCTGAGTTTCAGGGATTTGTCTTTTTTCAGGGCGATCTGACTTTGCGCCGTGTTTCTATGATAATGGAGCTGGAAGCAGCAACGGAAACATGGCTTTATTCAGCATCTCTGAAGACACAGCTGTTGGTTAGCATTCACTTCTATGATAACGTGCTGTCAGATAGAGAGGAATAACAGACAATATGAGAACATCACATGTACTTACTGTATATAAGCACAGATTGAATGTGTCTGAACTAATCAAAGAACATACAGTAGATATAATGAGCCTAATCACTCTGATCCTGCTGAATACATATTTGTTGTGTGCAAAAATTCGTTTGATTTTTATAGAAACAAATATTCAGCTAATTGTAATCTAATAAGAGTGACGGGGAATTGTTTGCCGTGGCTTTAGGGTTCTAGGATCTTCTCGATATTGACGAGCACATTTTAATGTTAGCTGAATTTCTGGACGTGTCTATATCTGTTTATGGTGGATATGACCCTGCTTGTACTACATTTAACAAATATGATAATATTTGCTACTAAGATACTTTATAGTAGTAAATAATGTCTTTAAGATCATAAACACATAGTTCACCGGAGATCATGTGTAATTCTGACTCGTTCTTCCACAGGGACTCATGTTTACACACTGAACGGCTCTGACCCCGAAGACGAGCCGGTGACCTACGACATGACCTTTGATAAGGGCTCCAAAGAGTACTTCAGCGTCGAGCCCAAATCAGGGAACGTGACTCTCATCCAAACACTGGACAGAGAGGTGAGAGAATCCCGACACAATATGAGGACATCATTCTGGAAAATAAACCATGAAGTCAAACGTATCTGTGTTAGTAATTCACTCGTTTCGATTGTTAAGGTTCAGGATGAGATCGTTGCATTTGTGACCATCACAGATGGGAGAAATAAGGTGAAAAACATGATTCTGTTAAGCTTTGATCACAGGATTATTTCTTAAAGCTGAAGAGTGTGATTGTTTTTATGTTCAGCTAGTTAGTGGTGTGTAAGTCAGTCATCCCTGAAGAGAGAAGCGCTGTGTTCGCTGCACAGATCGATTCGCTTCGGACTGAAATGACAACATCACCACGAGAGTGATTTAAGAACAGTCTCTCTGATGACGAAGCAGCTGTTTCACAGACAACAAACACTCTCAGTTTAGATAAAGCTCATACATCCAGCATTTCATAACCGGAAATCATCTTAATGTTATGCCATGTTAAAAATATAGAACCCTGATTCAATATTTTTTAATGTTTTGTTTTGTTTTTTAGTATAATTATTGTAGGAGAAATATATTGTTACCTATTTTAGGATTTTGATTAATACCTACTGGTGCCAACATTACACGCTTCACCTTTAAGAAATATGCTTGCCTTTGACAGCTGATTTCATAAATATTATATTGTTCCTTAATTATTATTTAATCCCATAGTCTTCTGCTTATTATGTGTATCGTGTTGAATGTGTTTTTATGGTGTATGTACTGTTGGTAAAGTCAGATTTACTTTATATCTCTCTTCTCCAGGTTGTAGAAAATGTTCGAGTGTTCATCACAGATGCTAACGATGAAAAGCCTGAGTTTCTGGATCTGCCGCTCATAGTGGACGTCCCCGAGGTAAGAATGAGAAGCGGTTTGGAAATGAACAGGTAAGTGTCATCATGAGATTTTGTTGAAGTGTGTGTGGTGTGTGTTGAAGGACACAGCTTCAGGCAGCAGCATCTACAGAGTCCAGGCCGTCGACAGAGACCTCGGGTCCGGAGGAAGTGTTACCTACTCCCTGCAGGTCAGACAGAACCACTTCCTGTGGGGTCAAGCTTCAATCATTTAGTCTCTTTTCAATGGAACAAGATAATAATCAGTGAGGATATCTGAATCTGTAATGCCAGCGTTAAATCTGTGTGAGGCTCAGTTTGTAGAGGACAGTCGCAGGCTCGTATCGCTGGCCATCGAACAGATCGTGACACCAAAGCACCATCAGAAAATGTGCTGCTACTGGATTAAATTTCAATTACATTTAGGCAGGTTGAGGGCTTAGCGTGAGGCGTCTGAGGTCAGCGGAGCGTCCAGCCTGCAGTGCAGCTTCCTCCGAGGAAAACACATGACAAGTGAATGTCTATCATTTCTCATCAGTTCTGTTATAATTACATCCAAAGCGCATCAAAATTGCACTGAGAGCCCATGCATACTGCATACTTCATCCAGTATTGTTTAATATCTCAGCAGCTTGTGACGGTGTTCAGTGAGAGTTTTATATGTCATATTTTGGAACAGATTGCTTCCTGAAGTGTTTGTCATTTTGTCTTTGTGTTTGAGAGATGCATTATATCAGGGTTCCTCAGATCTTGCCCTGGAGGGCCCATACGCTGCAGAGTTTAGCTCCAACCCTGATCAAACTCACCTACCTGTGATTTTCTAATGATCCTGAAAACATTGATTAGCATGCTCAGGTGTGTTTGATTAGGGTTAGAGCTGAAGTCTGCAGGACAGTGGATCTCGTGGGCCAGATTTGAGAATCTCTGCATTATTTGTTTCAGGAGACATTCCTTCATCAGTTATCATTTCGTTTGCAGTCGACGCCCAGCACTAAGTTCACCATCGACGGTCACAGTGGAGCTCTGCGCATCAGATCCGGAGAATCGCTGGACTACGAGGTCTCCAGGACTCATTTTGTCACTGTGGTTGCAAAGGTGAACAACAGACTCAACCGTGTGAAATCCCTCTGTCCTCTGAGATAGACCAGCTTGTTTGTGGTGATCTTTCGGAAAGGCATTTATCTTGTAACAGTGAAGTCCACATGAAGTCCATGAAGTGATTTCTCAGTAAGTACCAGATGCTCAGAGCTGTGTGTCTGTTTCAGGATGGCGGGGGTAAATATCATGGAAAATACCAGGTCATGACCTCCACAGCCATCATAACCATCAATGTGATTTTCTAATGATCCTGAAAACATTGATTAGCATGCTCAGGTGTGTTTGATTAGGGTTAGAGCTGAAGTCTGCAGGACAGTGGATCTCGTGGGCCAGATTTGAGAATCTCTGCATTATTTGTTTCAGGAGACATTCCTTCATCAGTTATCATTTCGTTTGCAGTCGACGCCCAGCACTAAGTTCACCATCGACGGTCACAGTGGAGCTCTGCGCATCAGATCCGGAGAATTGCTGGACTACGAGGTCTCCAGGACTCATTTTGTCACTGTGGTTGCAAAGGTGAACAACAGACTCAACCGTGTGAAATCCCTCTGTCCTCTGAGATAGACCAGCTTGTTTGTGGTGATCTTTCGGAAAGGCATTTATCTTGTAACAGTGAAGTCCACATGAAGTCCATGAAGTGATTTCTCAGTAAGTACCAGATGCTCAGAGCTGTGTGTCTGTTTCAGGATGGCGGGGGTAAATATCATGGAAAATACCAGGTCATGACCTCCACAGCCATCATAACCATCAATGTCCTCGATACTCAGGATTCTCCTCCAGTGTTTGTTGCTACTCCGTATTTTGGATTTGTGTATGAAGTCTCTGTACCAGTAAGTGTGACATGATTTCATATCTAAAATCCTGAAAAAATAGAACTAAACACTCCAGCTCAAGTAATTCCTTCATTGTGCTTGTGTTCAATTAGTTTTCAAGAAATCTACAGAGATTTTCATTTAGAGGAGTCACATTAAAAAATACAAATTCTACTCATTGTAACTGGTTAGTGATAAATGAGTGCTAGACTCCAATGTATTTGACTGTATTGACTGGCTGAGGATGTCCAGTAACTGAGCTTTTATGGCGATGCTCTGTCTGTTTGTGTGTTTTGTGTGCAGGGCTCAGAGATATTCACTGTTTCTGCCAAAGACGGCGACCAGAACAACCCCAACACCATGCATTACTCCATTCTGAGCGGTCAGCTGCGTTATCACCTCACTGCTCATTTAACTTCTGAACTCCAGAGCTAGACATTCATCGTGTCATAAATACTTCCATCAGTAATATCTCCTGTCTCCTCTTCTGGTCACTAAAGGCAGCGACGGCTTCTTCAGCATCAACAGCACCAGCGGCTGTATCAGCTTGACATCTTTCCCTGTACAGCTGAGGAACGAGTTATACGAGTTACAAGTCAAGGTTGTCTATATTTATGAGATGAATATCACTAAAGCTTGAGTAAGTGTTTCTAATTAGCATCACACATGGCCTAATAAAACTTATTTTATTGTAAATCAAGGCTGCAGAGGTTGGAGCCGACAGGTTTTCTGACTACAGTGTGACCACAGTCACTGTTCGTGTGGTGGACCTCAACAACCATCCGCCCACTTTCTACGACGAGAACGGCCCGCAGAACCGCTTCGAGCTGAGCATGTACGAGCATCCGCCGGAAGGAGAGATACTCCGCGGCCTGAAGATCACGGTCAACGACTCGGACCAGGTGCACATTAAACTGCTGCTTTCATCAGACGTATACACCCGGGTTAGCTAGCAGAGCGAGAGAGGTGTATTTCATTTAGATCAAATGAATAGCATTAAGCTATAAATACTAAAAATGAGAGAATTAAACTGCAGGTCAACAGAAGAACAAGGCAGCAGTGCTGTATGCTTTCAGTCCTTCACATTTCACACACAAACCACAAACTGAGGGATTCACACACATTATGGCACGGTGATTAAGAATAAGGTTGTTGACACCTGCCATACAAATTATTTGCTGTTTTTGCCTGTTTTCTATGCATTAAATAAACACTTTTATTAGAAATAGCACTTTGTTCAATTTTGAGGAGCTTTTTCTGTGAATGTTTTAATATTTTTTTCCCCATTAATGTTCCATATTCTCTGAATCTCCTGTTCTCGTTAATGAGCATTGTTTTGTTTGTGTAGAATACCATATTATTACCATGGTAAATGTCCAAAAAACACAAGTACTTTGAATTATGATCTGAATTCCTTGGTATAAAAACATGGAGCTAACATGGGAGTAACATAGTATTTCATAATTCATCCACAGTAATTTTTCATCCATGTACTCATGATTTAATAGTATATCACTGTGGTTTATGTGAAGAAAATGAAAGTTCATTATGTGCTAATTATTTACACTTGTTGTGTGTTTTTCAGAATGGGCTCAAAGGGCCCATGGCTGCTTTTCTAATGCAGAGCCGAGACAATCCAATGAAAGCTCTTGGCCTGGCCGTCATCATCATTACTGTGATGGTTTTGGTGACAGTTATGATCTCCACCATCATGTACTTTCGCAACACAAAGTCCAACAGGATCACGCCAGCGCGCCGCATCATTCGCAGGAGGCCCAAAGAGCCGCGCCGCTGGATCTTCAGGCCGTGGTTTGGACGGAGCGACCTGAGCTTTGGAAAGTTCTTCACTGATGATGAGACGAGGGACAACACAAACCACAGCAGCCCCAGAGCCAAGCCGCCGGCCCCCAGCGCTCCGGTGCTCCCTCCTCCGCCTCCGAGCGAGCGGCTGCGGTCAGTGCCCACGGTGTCCGGCTCCCTGGCCTCCAGAAACACCAGCCGCAGCTCCAGCTGGAGGACCAGCAAAAGCACAGACGGCGCCCAGAGATCTGCCCAAAACAAAGACGGCAGTGGCATCAGCTCCGCTCTAGTGTCTGAGCTTAAAATGAGAATAGAACAGAAAATCAATGAGGCAAATCAAGGCTACTATTACTGACACACTGACCGGTGTGAGTAACGGATACGATGCGTGTTTGATGGACCGCTGGACGCTTGATGTTACGAACAGCTCACTGAGAAGAATGTTTATTTTTTTGTGAAAGTGTTTTTAAAGTGGCCGTCTGGTTTACCCTTAAGTGTTTCTGTTTTTCAACATGCTGTACAGTCATTTAAGATCTAAGATTTCTATAGATTATTTGTGTGTATTGCATGTACTGACTGTATTTCTTCAGCTTTTGCCTTGAGGATCTTTGGTAAAAGTCTGCAGACTGTATGAACATCGGACTCTCATTTGTAGTTACTGCTGTCAAACCTTTTTTTTTATTATTGTTTTATAAAGAGTTTTTCACTGATATTTTGAACGTTTTTTTTAATTTTCCTGTACATTTTCTGAGAAAGAGCAGATGAACGTCCATGTGCTATTTGCTGTAGGGCATATCTGAATGTCAAATGTGTTTATCATGAATCATCATATCAAGTCTGTGCTATAACTGAATTTAGAAATAAAACATTTTTAAAGTGTTATCTAAAGAAATTAAAAGAGACTGATGTAATTGTCCTACTATTCAATTTTTATTGTTACATTTACATGAACTCATTTACCAAACATTTTTATTGAAGGCAACTTAAAAAATGAGGTAAAACCAGTGATTTATAACAGAAAAACAAGAATATTTACAGTGCTGCAATACTAGTAAAATCAGAGCTTCCTACTGAATTTTTTTTACATTGTTAAATAATAATATAAATTGTAATTGTATTTGGAATCTAACCCAGATTCCTATAACTGTAGTACAGTATATCTTGAGAAGTGTTTTGCCATTAATATTTCACATCTCGTTTTTAGGTCCGCTTTACATTAAAGAAAACAATGACTCCCACTAAGCTTTAATCAGTGTTGGGAAGGTTACTTTGGAAATGTAATAGGTTACAGATTACAAATTACCCTATTTCAAATGTAATAGTAGTGTAACTTTTTCAATTACTTTATTAAAGTAATGTAACATTACTTTTTGATTACTTTTCTAAATTTCTAATGAATGTTTATTTGCAACTGTTAATCATTTTCAAACATTTA